ATAAACATGCATTGACGACAGCACAACAGCGAATAGTAACGAAGCTACTGCAACAGAAAGTTAAAGACAACGACATACTAAAGTTCTTTCGTAGTTAGTATAAGGTGTTGGTTGGTCATGCACCAAGCAAGGCGATCTGTAAACTCGTCGTATGTGCCGGATTGTTTAAGAGCCTCGTAGATGTGAGATCTTAGTTGGATTCGTAGATTAATCTTCGCGGCATGGTCAGAAGTGGCGGCCGGCCTTAAATAAACCCGAAGCTTCCGTAGCGCAACCCCCTTCGAACCCCCATCAGCGCATCCTTCCCCACACACTTCATAAATCCTTCTGCGGTCAAGAAGCAGACGACTGTCATAACCGCCGTCGTCGTTCACACCTATCATGACAGCTGCCGACATCATATAAGGCGAGCAATTCGCCAGGTGGCTCCGGGAGCAGCTGTGTGTCCCTTCTACTTAGCGATTTGGTGACAAATGATGCATACAGCAGGGGGACACCTGGTGGAAAGATTTCAATGCGCTGGCGCTTGAATCATATCGTCACCCCAGCCATCCTGCCCGCTGCGACGACCTTTACAACCCTTTCTGTAAAACTGAGCAGGTCCACACACTCCTCAACGGTTTCGGCAACCTTATGAACTTCCGGGACATTTTAGCAGGAGGAAAAGAATTCGTCATGAGTGGACTGATGAAGCCTGCGGGTTATAGCGCGCTGTTGGATATGAAGCAGACAGAGCAGGGTATAAAGTTGATAAAGGAGTTCTTCCAGCAGAACCTTTCGACGGAGTTGCGCCTACGCCGTGTCACGGCACCGCTGTTTGTATTGCAGGGTCTTGGACTCAACGACGACCTGAACGGCGTGGAGCGAGCCGTGACGTTCCCCATTAAGGCCCTAGGCGACGCGCGGGCTGAGGTGGTGCATTCACTGGCTAAGTGGAAGCGGGTATCACTGGCGGAGTATGGAATCGAACCGGGTTATGGCATATATACAGATATGAATGCCATCCGCGCTGATGAACAACTGGACAACCTCCACTCGCTCTACGTGGACCAATGGGACTGGGAAGCGGTTATAACCCGGGATCAGCGCACTGTGGAGCATTTGAAGGACGTAGTGGAACGGATTTACGGAGCTATCCGCCGAATGGAGTACCTCACCTGCGAAACGTATTCGCAGCTGCGTCCTTTCCTGCCGGAAAATATCACCTTTGTGCATAGCGAGGAGCTGCTGCAGATGTACCCTGACAAAACGCCTAAGGAGCGAGAGGACGAGATATGTCGCAAATACGGGGCCGTGTTCCTCATCGGCATCGGCGGCCGGCTCAGCGACGGCAAGAAGCACGATGGTCGTGCGCCCGACTATGATGACTGGTCTACTGTAGCCGAAGACGGCCGCACCGGCCTTAACGGCGACATTCTCATTTGGTACCCCGTACTCGGTCGCTCCTTCGAGCTCTCGTCCATGGGGATACGCGTTGACAAGGAAGCACTGCTGCGCCAACTAAAGACCGAGGGCAAGGAGGACCGACAGCAACTCTACTTCCATCAAAAGCTGATGCGCGATGAGCTGCCGCTGAGCATCGGCGGAGGAATCGGTCAGAGCCGCCTTTGTATGCTGATGCTGCACAAGGCTCACATCGGCGAAATCCAGGCCAGCATCTGGCCAGAAGACATGCGACGCGAATGCCGCGAGCACGGCATGCCGCTTATCTGACAATTTTACTGGTCATGAAGGGACCATTTTTGGTGTGTGCGCGCGCGCGCGCGCGGGGGAGAAAAACCTTTCCAGCTGAAAGTTTGAATGAATGCATCCCTCGACGGGGGAACTTGTTATCACCATCACTCACGTCCACCATCACTCACGTCTTCAACTATCCAGCTTGTATGGTCATTCACTTGTTTAGCATCGGGTCGTTGTTCGGGCATCGGGTCGTTGTTCACTTTCACCTTCTGGTTGTCACAGCGGTGAGTCCTTGATGCGTTGTAGCACCCTGCTCACGGTAAGACGAACCTCTAAGCAAGTGATTCCCCGTCACCGTCCTTACCATGCCGCTCATGCACCGATGGACGGATCGAATCACGGAACTAGTGTTGGTCGTGGACAGTACGGCGAGCGGGTGGGCCCAAGCCGTCGTTGCATGATCTCAAGAACGGAATACAGGTGCCACCAGTGTGGGCAGCCCAACGGTTGGGTGCAGTAACAGTTGAGGACGCCGAACACGTCACGGCTCCATGTAGCGACGCCGTGGTGTGAAGTCGCAGATCAAGACTAGAAGCGAAGTAACACCAGAAGCGTGGCCAAACAGAAGCCCTCTTGGGCAAGTGCTGTAGTCGGTTGAAGAACTGATGGGTGTAGCACAGGAAGAACGATCGAAAAGAATGTTCCAGCCAGAACAGCCGGGGAATGCCAGCGCTCGCTATTATTATGTACGTTCTTCGGGAAGAGAATCTGAAGGCATCCCAGAGAACCCTTCCATTGCCAGCGCTCAGTAAGCTTTGTTACCTAGACAGAATCATCCACCCAAACGGGTATGGTCAACTGTTAACAAGAGCTACCTTCGTCCTCACGCCGTGGTTAATATCGGGTGCGTTGGAACTGCAGCAGGAGAGAAACTATAGAAATAGATCCATCGAGCACAGTTGCACTATGTTCTGTAAAAACCACTTGGCTTCAGAGCCCAGACAGAACGGATTCCCCTGGTTCGTTGAGTGATCTCGCACACAAGTTAGTCTCAAAAGTTATAATTTTTTGCGCTATCTTTGCGTAGCGATAACCGCATACGTCAGCATGGACAGCCTCTTCGATTGTACCCTGCTCGCTCCACCCCATTCGAAGTCGCAGGTCGTCCTTGTCACAACTCTAGCAACGCGTCGACTCGCACTGCTTCGGGACGCTCCAACGGCAACTCATTTGAATACGTAGCATCTGTTTCTGCCAACGCTGTGCCAACCCGGCAGCCGGATGCGGCATGCTGTTCCGACATGGGGCCGTCACATACAGCCAGCATTTTCAACACACAAGGCCTCCCTTGAACTCAGTCCCCCACCGACTAGCACAGCAAGTGGTGCTCCAAAATACCTGTACCGACGCCTGTAACAGTGTCTAAACACCTCTACTGCCGCCGCAACGTGTGCTATGATCGATCACAACTATCAGGTAATGTACCCCGCCTCCTACTGACCTCCGACCAACCAGATCTAGCTAAACAAGCTGCTTGAATCGGTCCCTTGAAGACCCAGCACCTGACACACAGGCGCAGTAAACAACCGACGACACAACAGGCAGTCTCTGCAGAAATCTTCTCCTTGGTAACTCCAGGCTACCAGAAATACTTCGCGATCAGTCTCCGCATCCGCTTCGCCCCCCCGGTGTCCTCCGACCCACCCGTCATTTGGTCTCTTCTGTACTCCAGCGGAACATACACACTTCCAGTTCGATCCCTCACCCAGACAGTTCGGTCCCCGCGCCCTCGCATCTTCACCCGTCCGCGCGACCATCTCACTAAAGTAAGTTCTGGTGATCAGCCTTTTTCGTAAAAGGAGCACACACAAGTAGTCTTGTCACCTTTCCGTGAATAACGGGTAGCATACAGCTCCCTTTCTCGTGTGTCCCACCTCTGTTGACATTCGTCCAATTCCTTGCTGCCGAATTCGTCCACATTCTTCACATGCCTGCCATACCAACAATCTTGCCTACAAACACCGGCATATGTCTCTTCAAATACCCGATCCATAACCTGCCGCAAGAGTATGGCCGAATTCTTTGCACCAAGCGGCATCCCGGTGTGCTCGGGTACGCCTCTATGAGACACAAACGCCGTGTATTGTCCAGAAGTCATCATTACAATCCAGGCACACGCAGCACCTGTGACCAGCAGCCAAATGTGGCCGCTCCCCCATCACCGGGATCGAATAGGCATTCAGAGTCTTTTCCTTGTTCAGCATCCTATAGTCAATGCAAATTCTACACTCCATTCTTTTAATCTGCAAGACTGGCTAGTAGAGACAGTCGTTCTTCAGCGTTTGTAGAGACTGTCGTTCTTTATAGTAATTAGTGTGTAGTTTGGTTTACTAAGATTTAGGACTAAGATTCAGTGTATTTTTTATGTTGTCCCTCGTTGGAAGGTCGTTGGCACTGCTTGGTTTCGTGCAGAGTGATCTGCCTGCCGCCGGCGATGACCTCTGTATCCATTTGAATAATGATACCGGGAATTGTGTGTCAACGAAAGGCGGATCTACCAACGAAACATGTTTGGATAATTGTAAAGAGAAGCACTGCGTGCGCGGCTACTACCGTGGAATGGTACAGGGGCAAACTCCCACAGCCTCTGATTGTTTTGTTCCTGCTAAATTTGAAGGGGTCGCATCGTTGACCTTCGGTAGGGCCGCCTCTCCGCAAGACTGTCAGACGATTTGTCAAAGGAACAAGACCTGTTTCGGCTTTCAGTTCAGCGGAAAGGACTTCAGTTGCAGAGGGTTAACCGCGTCAGATTTTGAAAGCTGTTCATCGAATAGCAATGCTGTGTGCTCATTCGCTTCTACGGCCCAGCAAAGTTGCTCCCATCCTGGGTGCGGATGTCAGGCTACCTGCATGATTACTGATTCAAGTACGGTTGCTGGACCTGCCAACTGCGGGGCGGTTGAAACAATCA